CAGACAGACAGACAGACAGAGACAGAGACAGACAGAGACAGACAGAGACAGACAGACAGACAGACAGACAGACAGACAGACAGACAGACAGACAGACAGACTGACTGACTGACTGACTGACTGACTGGCTGACTGACAGACAGACAGACAGACAGACAGACACACACACACAGACATACATTCATACATACATGCATACATGCATACATGCATACGTACATTCATACGTACATTCATACATACATACGTACATACATACGTACATACCTACATACATACCTACATATACATATACATATACATATTCTGGACATAGGTGTATGTGGGTTTAGGCAGACATGCAGACGACAAAGGGATCTCTTAAGGGGCTCCGAGGTCGTCAGCGCCTCCAACTGTCCTCCTCGATGCGGTGGCCCATGGCGCTACCGGGGTGCTGCATGCCCTGAATGGGAGCTAGGATTAGGGGGACCCTCCCTTTTAAGAGAGCCAAAAGTAGGGTTCACAAGGGGTATTTTTTAAGGGGTACCCCTAATAATACTACCTACTGAAGGAGGAGAGCTTGACTTCGGGCGTGCGCAAAAAGTCGCACATCACCTTTGCGTGTTCATGCTTGCCGCCATCCATTGGTCGAGGATCCAATGACTCAGGGTAATCCAAGGGCCTAAATAAATACCAATTTGTGGGTGGTTCCTTATTATAAGTATAGAACAATGGGCCCCAAAACCCTACTCTAATCATTCAGGCCCCTCCCTTAGATTCTGCCCTAAACCCTAAACCCTAAACCCTAAAGCAAGTTTGTGCTGAGTTGCAGCTCCTCGATAATCCGGAGGCCGCTCCTCACTTTCAATCGTTCAACCCGTGTATGGAAACCAAACTACCGGGCTCCAATGTAGTTCCTTTTTGGGTCTGTTATGGTTTTTGGAGTAAGGAGTTATAGTATACTATCCAAGATGGAACCACATAGGAGCCCTTGGGTAGTTCAATAACCACAATGCCGCATTACTGCTTTTATACTCTTATCATGATAGGGCCTGGCTAGTACCAGCGACCTCATCCTCATCTTCATCCTCATCATGATCCTCCTCCGCTTCCTCAGCAACATCATCGTCATCATTATCACCGTCATCACCACCATCATCACCACTATCATCGTCATAACCATCAGCTCCCTCTGAATTACCTATCAAATATAAGGGGCTCGAATGGTTACCTATACTATTTTGGGGGCTCCTTATAGTATTTATTGCAATTTTTCCCCCAGCACCCTGTTCTAATTATTAAGGCCCCTATATTAACTCTGCGCCTACAGCCCTGCAGCCGTTCAACCCCATGAACCTTGCCTGTTCCGCCTGTTTAGCGCCGCAGAACTCGAGGGAATCAGGGCAGCGCCGTCAGCCAGGAATTCCAAAACCACACAAGCATAAACAATGGAAACCTACCCGCTTGTGCTGTAGGGATGATCTTACCTTGGTGATTTTTTGCGGTCCTACCTAGCGCTTCTGGCTTGAGTTTGGCTTTCAGGCCGCCGGTGTGGTTGCAAAGAGGTTCAAGGCATTGGGTTTAGCAAGCTTTGGCGGGCTTGCAGGGTTCGAGGGAGTAGTCAACATGTACCCCAAAATAAAACCCTAAACACTGCAAAACCCAAAAACCCTCAATGCAGAAGAAAAGAGCCCGAAACACAAATCAACTACCCAAGACCTTATACTCCAGTTGCCATAGCTATCCCTGCTCTCCCAAGTAAAAGACCCTTAACCCGAAACCCTGACGCAACGTTGGGACGATAAATTCAGAGCCATGGCAGTGGCATTCCTGCCCAAGAGCATGTGGCATGCATGCCCACACCGAGGCTCCCTGAGGGTACGGGTATCCGAAAAGTTCCTCTAAGAGTTTTAACGGCTTTACAGTGTTTGTACCACGGTTGACTATTAGACCATAGGTTCCATGTCCGATATAGTATATATGCGGGCCTTACGGATGGTTGGATGTGATAGACAGACAGGCAGACACACGCTAATAGATAGACAGATAGACAGATGGATTCGATGGGTGCTTGGACAGATAGGCAGGTAGCTATCTAGCTTAAGCAGAATCAGCAGACATATAGACAACAGATAGGTAGGTTAGATGGATAGGTTAGCATATAGCTAGCTAGCTAGATAGATAGATAGATAGCTAGATAGATACATCGATAGATCAGATCAGGTAAGGTTAGATTGGTTTTCACCGGATAGGTAGATAGTTAGGGAGATCGATAGATAGATAGACTGGTAGATAGGCAAGTAGGTACATAGGTAGGTAGGTAGGT